TCACCTATCTCAATTGGTCATTCCCATTGGCAAGAACAGAGAACAGCCTTCAAGTGTTTCTCTAAACCTTTACACAATTGATGAGGCCAGAGAACACATTAGTTCAAGTCTAAATAAATGTCAAACAGCACCTTCTAGGGAATAAGTTATGAAACACCAAAGAGATAATGACCTTTGACAGTGTAAGATGAGCACAATATTATAGTTGCCTCAATCTGGTTGTCTGTATCCTATAAATTCAATAAATGTTCCAAACAAGTGCAAAAACTTATTAACATTTTGTTGAATAAGAAATGTTTACCCTTCTAAACTAAAAGGAAAATAAACATCTGATATGTTTTAGGGCAGGCATGTTTTTAAAATTCAACACACTTATCATTATGAACGTTTTAGATTCCACCCCTCCTTCCTCATAGTCATTCTTTACTGCATGTGGCCCGTAGTTTGTTTTTCTCGCAGTTGCAAAAAATTATCTCATTAAAATAGGTTTATTTGGGATCTGAAAACTGCAAGAATGTGTTTATTGGGCTCAAACACCTCCACATTATAACCATGGTATTTGAACATCTTTTCATCCTCGATATCAAACAGAGGATGTCAATATGTTTTTTAATCCTATATATTTAAGACTTTAACAGAATTGGAATTAAACTTGCAAAAAATAAAAAAATCATATACAAGGCAAGTTATCATAAAATGGGAATTACACACATTGTGGCAGGTTTCACACGCTACAGAGGAATACGATTGACATTAAACCTGTTTTTATCACTTTTCCTATTTTTATTTCACTTTCAATGTCTTTATTTTCTGTGATAACTATTTTTCTGTTTTAGTGTTGAGCAGATACGTTAAAATACAATTGACCAGGGTCACCCACTGTTCTATGCTCAGCCATAGTTCTGGTTTTTCAAAAAATATGTAGGAAAAAACTGTAATGATAAAAGAAAACATCTTGTAAAACACAAATATGAAAATGTTTTCCTCCAGTTACAATACTTTTTCACTACATGCCACACAAACTATTCAGCTGAGTTAGTTCATCAGGGAAGGTATAATCTCACAAGATCAACTGAATTAAAGCACACAATTTGTTTGGTTTTATGTTGCTATACTACAGATAGTTATGAGCAAACAAAAGCAATTAAGTTTATTTGACGCCTTCAGGAAGAGCAGAAGGCACTTTCTGGTTGCAAAATATCAGAGGGGTGATAGCAAAATTTATTGCAGTAGTAGCACCACCCAGCCATTTTTTTTATTTCAGCAGAGCTGTGAGGTTATTGTTAGAAATGCTTTGCTATTGAGCTTAACTACCAAAGCAGTCCATCGTATTAGCCTCATTGGAGATGCTCTCCCAAAGACTACAATAAGTTTCATCATATGTAGTGCTTTTTTGAACAGGTTTCAGTCCCCCCCCCCACAAAATGGGATAGGTAGCACCATTATGCAGTATTTTAAGACAGCAATAGAGATTCCCTAAAAGATTTCTTGTTGAGGCCAAGTACTCGGTTTTGAGATAAAATGAAGTAATTGACGGTGTGTTTTGTGTTACTAGTATTATATTTTTGTGTGCCAAAATAATACTTTGATAATAGATTGGTATAATCCTAACTAAACAGAACACAGGTCCAACTTTATGCCCAGCAGAACGCTGTTCAATTTTAACGTGGATGTGATAATAAGCAACAGGCTACCTTTTACAAAATAACTCTAAAGGTAATGATGGATTTAATAAGAGTTTGTAAGGAGCAAAAACTTGCATTAGAGAGCACACTAGATGAGTGTGTCAACTTCAATACTTCACCGGAATACATGCAACAGGAGACAAAAGGTTAAAAAGGCACTTGCAAAAACCACCATGCAACGCAAAATACAACAGCCACAGAATACGGATCAAGATTATTGACCCGTGTGGCAAACAGTCAGAAGTGGTTTTCACTGTTGGTAGATGATTGTGCCAATATTACCTGTCTGGAGTATCAATCATTCTTTGCTACGTGGACCAGTCTAGACAATTCTATGTAGATGGAGGGTGTGTGTATTTTGTTGCTGCAAGAGACACTACAAATGAGATGCTTACATACTTGATTCTGAAGAACTTGCACCCTTCCAACTTGATTGGACAATTTATGATTGTGCTGGAAATGAATGGCAAGGTTTGTGGAATGCAGGTACACATCAGAGTGCAGTATTCAGTAGCATCATATGTGCACTGTAGAAACGACACAACTTAGCTTTCACACTTTCTCCAAGATTACCATTAGTTTGCAGCATTCTACTTTTTGTCCATGACATTGTTTTTTGAGAGTGCCTCCCATGAAATCCTGCAATGTTTTTGGATAAAATGAAATGAAATTAAGCAGAATCTGGAAATTTGGCAATGGAATGAACATGATGCAAGACTCTGATGACATCAACTACGAAAATGTTTGTTTGCCAGGGGTTAGTGTAATATCTTAATATCTCATGCTCCTCAAAAGTGCATTTCAGAACCCGATATGTGGCATCATTAAAATCTGCCAGCATGCAATTTACTTTTATTGCTTGTTGACAAAAGACTGCACCCATACACATTTCTGGGAGAAGGCCTGTATAAAAGGAATACCTGTATCATTGCTACGTACAGCTAGACATCAGACCCACAAATCCAATACTCCTGCATAAATACCACAATAATACTGACACTTAAATCTATTCATTCAATTACTGTGTTACCTTGCCACATACTTTATTACTGAGTGTGTACTTCACTGCCAAATTCAAAGTCTGCTGCCTAACAAGTTTAGCTTCAGCTATTTAGAGAGATAGAGAGAAAAAAAAAGAGGACCCTGATGTCCAGCTTGGATACTACTAATGACATCCTAGAACTACTGGGAGCAGCAGTAGTGATTTGTGTGACATCCTGGAGTACAATACTGTTAACTGTTAATCCTGTATCCCAATGTCTTAAAAGCCACGCATATAATACCAGTAACTACCACTTCTAATGAGCACTCCTTCAGTTACTTGAAATCTTACCTATGAAGTGTCATGACAGAAATACAACTTACAAGATTGGCAGTTTTGAACATCCATTGTGATATGGTTATTGATATTGAGCCAATACGGAACTTTGATGCTCTGTCATCCATAAAGATTCTACCGAACTTCCAAGATTTAAAAAGCTGATAAATGAAGTGATTTATTTTTAATTTATCAATTTGCTATTCCTAAATGTATGTTCACCAGTGTCATAAAGTACAAGTTTAGTAGTAAATGTATTCTACTCCTATTCATTTTATGTGGTGCAGTTTTTATTTAAATGTTGTATTTCAGCTGGATTTTTTTTTCTTTTGTCTAGACATGGGTGGCATCACACAACAGCCCACTTCGGTGTACTGCAATAAATATTTCCGGAAATTGCCCTGCACTTACCTATATAAAATTAATTTTAGGCAAATATTAGTCTGGTCTGTTTAGGCTCGATCTATCCTCACGAATCCACATTACATTCCTTGTAAGCCAAGCTATAGCTTACTAAAAACATGCTAGTGTGTGTGTGTGTGTATATATATATTAATTACCATAATCATTTCATGCATTTTGTTTTAAATATCTTAAGTATATTTTATAAACTTTTTTCACACATGCTGGCACGATATTTGGCTATAAACAAACTTCAATAATAAAACAAAAACATCAGTGGAAAACTGAAGTAACCATGGAACCCTATATATCGAATACTTTGGCTTCTAAGAAGTAACTTTTAAAAAAAGTGTCAAAGCTAATTGAAAATTTAATTTCTTCTGTAACTTCGTCAGTTTTATCAAGCAGCTCTTGGTGGAAAGGTCTTTCCGAGGAGCTGTATTTTTGTGGTTAGGTTTTGGTCACAGACTTTGGTGACACATTTATGCAGATATTTTATTCCATTTGAAATTTCTCAAGATGATCAGTAACGTACAAATTTAGTTCTACACCTTTTTTCCTTTAAACAATGTTGAATAAGGTATAGTGACCGGTTTCTTTATTACAAGTAAGAAAATAATTAATATTTTGTGCCATGTTCCAAAATAACAAAAATGTCGTCAATGTAATGCCTCAAAGTGTTCTAATATTCTTGTTGAAAGATATTGACATTGATTAAGCCAGGATTTTATGGTCTTGGAGAAAATCAGTAGTGTAATTAGGAATGTTATATACAATTCAAGAAAGTTTAACCTGTACAATTGTATGCGTGTTATACAGCTTAAAATGGAAATTGAAGAAAGCAAATACCCTTGATGAAGAAAGATGTATCTTTTGAATGAACTCAGGTTATAAAATTTAATATTTTTGTCTGTAATTGATTTTTTTTAACATCATGATTTTTTACTGTTTAATACGTTTTCAAGTCCATAAAAATGTTTCAGCTTTTTCGAATGAACTCAACATTATTATAATGGGCCACCATTTATCCTAGCTGTTTCTACTAATATGCAAGATACAAATTAACTATACTTTATGTACTTAGTGACGTATTAAAAGACTAAACCTAAATCTCTAGCATCAGCCTTAAGGTTTGAAAAATATTTCATGGTTTTGTGCACATTTTCTTACAGCAAAGCCACATCGGGCTATCTGCTGTGGCCACCGAGTAGAATCGAACCCCTGATTTTAGCATTGTAAATCTGAAGACTTACCACTGTGCCACAAGGGGACTTTTGAAGTTTATTTACAAGGAGTATAACCACTGTGTATGAACCAGTTGGACAACAATATAGATAGATCTAAATCTTAATTACTTGACAATTTAATTGAATGTAATTGCAATTTTTATTACAGTGACTGTCAATGCATAACTACGAAAAATCAAAGTTACCATTATATTAAGTCATGTTTGTTCATTAATTTTTCATAAACAAAGTTAAGTCATTATTCCTTTTACACAGATGGCTTATAAATGGATACAATTTTTTAAAGAACTCATTACTGTATACGTTTTGGACATGAAAAATTTAGCCAAATAAAAAACACTTTCCAAATTACAGGAAAAAGCGCCCTAGTAAAGGGTTGTTTTATTTAGGTTTTGAACAGCTCAAAAGAAAATAAAGGCAATACAACAAACCATAATAACCAGAAAAGAAGTCTTGGAGATGGCAAAGCATATAAAAATCACACTTGTGTTATCAGTTGATCTTTACTGTCAAAACACAGAAGTTTTAGGGAAATAAAAGTTATTATTCATGTTGAATCAGTAAAACCAAGGAAAAACAAAATATAAATCAAGATGGTCTGAGATGGCTTCCCACAGAACACACAAGAATGGAATTGCTGCCATTATGTAACATTCAGTTTAACACTGAGCCAGCAGTGAATGCATTTTTTGAAAATCTTCAGAAAAGCTTTTCCATTCAAAAATATATATAATTTTTTTCAATTGTTAGGTATCTCTAATCATCACTGGGATTTATGTAGTATCTAATTTACAACTCAACAGAAGGTTTAGCTTCCAAACATCAAGAAATAGGAATAGCAGCATTTTGGTCAATTGGACTCCTGTATTTACCAAAATTAAATCAAATTGTCTATGAGTTAACGTCTTCCATATCACTAAGTATCAGAATTTATTCAAAATAACCACCTAAAAAACACTGAATTTTGAGATGTTATTATCAACATTAGAATAAATTTAAAATTTTGAAAAACGTTTTAAGTTTCAAAGGCACTAGAACTTTTTACAGCTGCTTGGATATGCTATTTTACTAAAACAAAATCAATTTATTAAGAATCGAAAGATTCATCTTTGCTCTAGAGATTTATGATACATATCAATAGTTAAACCTCAGGTAAACATAAGAGGGGAAACCTCTGCAATAACTTTTTCAGAACAATGGAAACTTTATACTCTTTCTTACCACAAGTTGAAAACTGTTAAATTTTCTATACTATGGAGAAGTCTTACGCTGAGTAAAAAGTAGATGAAAATCATGATATAGCTAGAAAAATAGAAATTAATAAAAAATGCTTAAAGTATTTATGATTAGTTATGAGTATTTAGTTCAATGAAAACAAATTCTTCTCTCCTCTATGAAATTTCCTTATTGTGGGGTTACACTTTTATCCCCTTTAACATCTGATCACCACCTTTTAATAACAACCTTATATTTAAAGCAAAAACAGAACTGAAATATATATATATATATATATATATTCATATTTGAATATACACCTTTTCAAAAACAGTGCAAAATTTGTCACAGAATCCAAAATGAAGTTGTTGTTTGTGTGATTTATTACGGTTTATTTTTTCTGTTTTTGAACAACACTTTTCCTAAAGTAACTTACTCAGCTTGAGAAATAGATTTAAAATCAATTTAAATTTGCACTCAAAAAAAAGATAACAGCATACTTTCAAACTAAATATTACACCGATTCTGGAAATGATTTATTGTTGGGTCAGATTTTATGAGGAATGGGAATTATTTATTGTTGGGACAGGTTTTATAAGGAATGGGAATTATTTATTGTTGGGTCAGGTTTTATGAGGAATGAGAATTATTTATTATTGGGTCAGGTTTTATGAGGAATGGGAATTATTTATTGTTGAATCAGGTTTTATGAGGAATGGGAATTATTTATTGTTTCATTGAAGTCCCATCAATAATTTGTACAACAATATGAAATTTCTTTCCTAGTTCCATTCAAATAAACAAATTTATTTGCTGGAAAAAGTTTCCTCTGGACAACCATACTTACTTATTTAATAAGAAATCTGGACTTGTCACATGACAGTTTTTTTTGTTTCTTTCAGCCTGCTACAACACAATATAGACTTCTTTCAACTTTCAACACTGGAGCACTAATTTCACAGCTTTATATTTTTTCAACTAACAAATACTGGTAAAATTTCTTATCTCTTAAAGAAACTGCACTATGTGGCATGCTAATGACTTAATGCACTGCATCATAAAATATAAGGCACATTCATCAAACCATCTGACTGGGTCAGAGGAAACCAACCTTCTTCCTGGGCACCCACATTCTTTTATCTCAAGACTAAGAATTAAGGAAGACTCTGAACACATATAAACACAATGGCTCAAGGTTTAAGTTATAAAATCTTCACCCCAAGTCAGGCTGAGTTAAAACTACCATTGCCCTAGGTACAAAAAATAAAAATGTATATAAGACACAAAAATAGCTGCTGATTGGAGGTTATCTTCAACAGCTGACTTTAAAAACTTTTAAACTTCAAATCAGATCTTCAAAAAAAGATCCCCTTATTTAAGGGGTGAGAACCCATTGTTCTGTAAACCTTGGCACTATGGAGCAACCGAGCGAACACTGTTCACTCAACAAAATCAAGTTATAGGCAATCACAACCAGTCATCTTCAGAAAGATGGGGCTCCTCCATCTATTAAAAAAAAAAAAAAAAATAATAATATAATATATATATCTGT